CCCGAGGCGCCACAGACAACGACTACAACGACTCTACGTAGTTACACGGTTTCGCGGTTTCGCGGCGGAGCGCAGCGCCAGCTCGTAGTTCAACGAGTCGGGGACACTAGGCATACTGCGAGCCTGATCCCGCTAGAGGCTTTCGACATCAAGGAATTCCCTCATGTTCAGTTTTTCTGTTTTGGTAAATTTAATGGTTCCTGTACATAAAAAATAAAAACAGAAATTGAAGAGAATTAACGTTGTTTATTTGCACAAAATATTCTGTAACCAGCACCTCCACAATGCAAAGTACAAGATAGTTGACAATAACAAACTTTTCTTTCGCTGGATATTTATAACAGCAGTAAAAAATATTACAACGGTACTTCCAGCTGATAACAGCCTTAGTCTCAAAGCTAATAAAAAGAAATCATTGATTCATTTCACACAAAAAATGTATGAAAATAACGAAAACACGAACATAGTTCAACGCCAGGGAAGTCACTTACAAATAACTTAATCTATTTCTTTGCAGTTGGGCATGGCAACAGCATATTCAAAGCCGAAGCTTCTCATCTTATGGCAGGAGAACGTATGCAATCAAGTGGCAGGAAATGTTGCAAGTCTTCTCGAGCGTTCTCCAGGACTGACACATGTTGTTCTATTGAAGAAACTTGAAACTTTTTTGGTTTGACTGAAAACGAAACTATAAATTTGATGTTCAACAACTTCATTAACGAGAAGGATAATAAGAAGGCCAAGAATGTCTAGAAATGACGCCTGCTTGCAAAACATGAGCAAAAAGGTCTAGTGTCTGGTTTTTACCCTGCAAAGGACAAATAGGAAAGATCTGAAATTCATAAATAACCAACATACGACATATTTATTCTGAAACAGAAGAAAACTTGGAAGGACATCTAAATCTATGCAGTGAGGCCATGTTGGCAACAGGATGAAAATTCCAAATGTAGAAATTCATACCAAAAAAATTATAGCAGAGTACAGGTAATACAAGTGTCATGGTACTCGGTTGTTGAAATTGAAATAGTTTGAACTGTTTGTTTACATATTAATACACTGTACTAAAAATGATTGTGCTGTTATTGGCTGAGGCGTCCTTAACCTAACTTGCACAAACTTAACGAGCGGCATTGTTGCAAAACAAAACAGAAATTTCACATATAAAATGAAGCAAAATTTTAGGTCCAAAACGTTTGTAAGACTAAGGTTTCTGCGAAGCTCATGCTTATAGATACAACATGGACGCCTTCACAAGAGAGGCTAATAAAAGTAGCAAATCGAACTAATAGATGAATCGGGGACTGACTAGTCAGAATTTAGGCAGAAATAGACTCACTTTGACAGTCAAAAAAGTTAAATAAAATTTGAAAGTGAGTGATGGAAAAAGGCAGCGATAAAATAGGAAAACAAGTTTATCAACAAAACAGTTTAGCTGTCGATAGCGGGGATGATGCAAAAACTTAACCTGCCTCAACAGCTGAAGTTGACTATTGACAGGTGGACAAATGAAATTGGCATAAGACATATTGCCTGTGTGTTTATATTAAGTAAGTAACTATTTAAACATATTGCATTTAGCATTGGATGTTTACAAAATTTTAAAACCGAAGTATCAATTACAGAAATCTTACCAGCTGGAGGAAGAACAGCTCAAAGATCCTTTGGCAGTCATTATTTTATATAAAAGAAAGAAATGCCGGCATCAGCATTAAGGTTACAAATTGAGGAAATGTCTGAATACATTGTACATACGTGTACTGGCAAGGTGCAAAAATCTATTTGTAGTGAGATGACCTGCCATCAGGTCATGTGAGATGTTAATGATGTAGGCATCATTATTAATGGCAGATGCCCTACGTGGCCTACCAGGATTGATGTGTCCGTGAAGACTTACCAAATCCAAATAGCTGTTGGTTTCCATTGATCGGATGGCTTCTGCAAAATAAACCAAGTTGGTAAGAAAGATAGTCAAACCAAATAGACAGTGGAATTTTTGAAGCTAGATGTATTAGTCGCAGGAAACCAGAACCAGAACCAGTACCAGCAAAAATGCACACAGATCTGCTTTACAGAAAGTAATTTGAAAAATTCGTGGTGATAATTCTAGACGACATGGTTCAAATGGGATGAGAGCATTTTCTCAACTGGTTTTGGTCCGGATTTCCTAACTAGGATCCCGGTAAAGCTAAAATGCAGAAGCATGCAAGGAGGAAGAAAACAGAAATCAGTATGCTTTAAGATGGGACTTCCATTTCCTTGTTCCCTGCATTCTTCTGCATTTCAGCTCAAATGCTTTATTCTTACCCAAGAACAATGACACATTTGCGTGGTGAACTTGTGTTCTCAACCTCAGCATTCTGTTTGCAGACTCAGAAACATTTGTGCGGTGCTCTGCTAAGAATACCGACAACATTTGGAAACGAAATCCTGCCAGCCAAGTTTCATGAATCTTTAGAAAGAACTGATGAAGAAGGGCATAGATGCCAAGATCAGCAGCCTCATGTGCTAGGCTCATAAATCCTTCTTCAATCATGTGGTTGGGGAGCAAAGGTAGAGCTAGGAGGCTACTGACAATTGAGTGAGCCCTATCATGGTAGCCCAGAAAATTTGTGAGGCCCATAGTCCGGCTCAGGATGGTGACAGCCTAAAATAAACAGGTGAGGTTTATTCTAAGTAAAACAATCCTCTATGTTTTGGGAATGTTGACTAACATGCTCTGAAGCTATTCAGCACTAATAAATTATTGATTGTTTTACAGGTTTTACATCTGATCATTGCATCAGAAATAATGAAGAATATTTGGAACACTTACTCTGGAGAAATGCCAATAGCACCCTTGAACAATTACATTGTAGACCTGAACCCATGCCTGCATCTGTGAGCATTCAAAGTCCGTGATCACAATACGAGGACGGAAGGTTGGTGCTGCCATGCTGTCATGTCATACTTACATGGTGCTGCTTCTCTGATGGCCTCCAAGACTGCCACATATGCAATTCGAGTCCTTGTCTGCATAAGGACCTGGCAAAGTGGTACAACCTGAACAAGATAAGTTATAAATAAAAATACATTTGCTGAGAAACATTTACCTTTTATTTTACAGTTGGCTTAATGATATTGTATGTGACTTACATGGTTTCTGATCGCAATGCTTATCTGAAAGACCTGCCTGGACCTGGGGCGACAAGGCCTGCTGGCAAAAGTGCCATCAGAGAAGGCAATTTCAATAATGAAAGTATCTCTTCCAATCATTGCCGCAACCCGCCGAGACATGAAGATGATGCTCCTATGCCCTTCAGGTCCAATCGCTGCCATGGACACACTATCAGCCCCATCCATCGTTGCTGTGATGTGTGGGTTCTCAGTCATGAGAGCGCCCAGCTCATCGATGGACTGTGGGACTCGTGGCAGGTGAAGGGGGTCAGCAGCTCTCCTTATTGCTGCCCTCATTCTGTTGTATGTAACCCTCGCAGCTACATGAGGAGGATACCTGAACATAGAGTGAGGGCGATTACTTCAGCATGTTTTTTTTCCCCCATGTAGGAATGATAAGTACATCCTTCAAGAGGAGAACTCAAGAAAAGGAAAAGATGCAGTGCTCAGAGGATTGAAGCCTTTTCGAGGACGGTGGGAAAACACCTGCCATGGTCACATTGCAGAGCAAGATTTTTGCAAGGGTAGGTACAAAACCTTTGGAAAATGCCTTAAATTTGGAAACATCAAAATTTTAAAAAAGAGGTCACAGGAATATGAATAGGAAAGGAATATTAGTCCGTACAGTTGTGGGTTGGTATCTTCTGATTAGAAAAAAAAAGAAAACAGAAGCATTTCTGTGGGGGGGTTGCACATTTAAAGTAACTAGACTGAACAATGTTTACGTTTGGCGACATTGATCTCAAATATAATTATGATTAAGTTTTAGGTTTGATAGTTCTTGTTAAGGAAATGGTATTCGATTCTTTTTCTTTTACCATATCTGGGCATTGACCACTTTACAGGTCTCTTATTGTAAAATGTTCCAGTATATTCCTGTTTCTCATCAACCTGCAGCTCCGAGGGGGGAACGACTGTTAAACTTTGTGTCAGCCGGATTACGGATTACCCGGATTACCTCCGGAGTGTCCTCCGGATTACGTTGCTTTTTCTCTAGGATAACCCCGGATTACCCCCAAAATTTTCCCGGACTACCCCAAAATTTCGCCGGATTACCACAGATTTTTAAGAATTTCCTCGGATTACCCCTGCCGGATTACCTTTCGGCTGTCAGCCGGATTACCTTAGTCGTTTCCCCCTCGGCAGCTCACTAACACTGTAAGTTGTCTTGTTCTAGTTTAACCAGGATCTGAATGAAAAGATTGTGCCTCCAGGACCTCTCCTTGTGGACAAGATTTGCAGGAGAACGTTATTATGGGACTCTAACTCTACATGCTACAAATTTCTGTTATTTGTTTAATTAAATGACATTTCTATGCAATATAACTAATAAATGAAAATTAAACAAAGTCTCCATTGCATTGTTCTTCAACCTCCCTCTTGGTGTTACACACGCAGGGACCCAGTTAAAAGTGCGCTTAGCTTACCTTGCACGTATCCTTGTCATGACGAACACTGGTTGCTGGAAATTGTGTCTGTTGACACGGACGTCATCTAAAATGTCATGGCGCAATTGCCGCTCCATGGCCAACAGCGGGTTGGGTTGACACTGATGAGGAGTCTGCCCGGTTCGAAAGGCTTCTTCTCCAACCAAGCGAGCTGAGGCCTTCCCGGTGCACTCACGCCGTGTGCGGCTATACACGCAGCGAAAATAGAGGCTTTGCGTGCCATCGGGGTGCGCCCGGTTTCGGTTAAGATGGTAGTAAAAGCCATCATTAAAATGATAGAAGGTTGAGCCCCGACGCTCTCCCCTCTCAATACGTAGAAGTGCGGCCATGGGAGAGTAGACTAAGAATGTGAACCAAGAGAACGTTGGTAGGTCCTTTGACCGGCCAGTGCAGTATTGCGCGCCGCCAGCAACCCGGATACCCGCCTTCGCGGAGGTACCGGGCCCGCGCGGGGGTGGGGAGGGGGGGGGAGTGCCAATCACAAGGGAATGACGCAGTGGACAGGCGCCCTTATTGGCTGAAAGGGAATGACGTGGTGGACAGGCGCCCCATTGGCTGAAGCGAGAGAGTAAGGTGCCGTAACCGGTCACACTGAAAAAAATTAAAAAAATTTTGACAACAGCTCTAAACCGTTTATCGCCTTTCAAACTGGTGAGTGACTCGAAGTAACGGCTTTAAACTGAAGTACTGTAGTTTTTTTTTTTTTTTAAATCATTGCAATTGCAGGAACCACCTGCGGCCAGGTTTCTGACCGAAGCGACCCTCACTAGGTGGCTGAGGATGCTGCATTCTCGAACGTAGCATGAACACATAAATCCGGAAGACTATCCCGCCAAGCCATCATTTGCGTGCTGTCGCTGTCGAGTCGACGTGCCAAGCCCCTCTGCCAAGCTCTTTCGCTGCCGCTAACAGTCGCCCTTGTTCGTCGTAAGTAAATCTATGTTTTATTTGTTAGCGTTTTGTAAAGGCGCCCCCACACTGAACGCGTAGGCGTGTCCGCGGCTCCCATGCCCCCTTTAAATTTTAATTGTTAATCCGGTGACGAAATAACTTTGAAGGGGGAGCATCGCATTGTTATTACGGTCGATACTAAGTGACTATTGTGCTTTGTGCTGGATCGTTTCGATTCGTTGCTCAGATCATTTTGGCGTGGTACTGTATGGCTTGCCTCAGAGCGATGCAAATACGTAGATAATGTTCTTGGTCATAGTGGGGTCGGTAGTCGTCAGGAGTCGATATCTGCCGAATAGGTAGTGATGGAGGCCCTCTATTTCCTCATTCCTCTGGGCAGACGGTCAGTGCAGAGCGATTGCGGCATGCGCTGGACAGAGGGCATTGTGCTGAGCTGTGGTCGGAGGAAATCCAACCGTCCTTTTTTATGTTTTCCTTATTCGCATACCTACATTCAACGCCGCAATAATTCTGACGTCAACGAACATGACGCGCACGTGGTCATAGATTTAGGCACTCCACCATTAGATCTTTGTTTGGCGTTAGTCTCTAATTGATTTATTTTTCTCCGTGTTTACAGTGCTATGGATAATAAGGAAAACATTCCCCCGCCCACCCCGGCTACCGCCTCCCCGGGTAAGTGGACGGTGGCGTGTGTCTGTTTGGCTCTCACTCACTACTCTTTGTTTGTCTTTGCTCGTCAACTGTTGCTATATTTCAGATATTGAGGCAGTACGCCGGGCGAGGCTGTCTCTGCTGGAGGGGCGTCTGGGGCGCCATGTCGGGTTCGACAGCCCTGCCCCCTACGACGCGCCCTCCAGCAGCTCGAGCTCCAGGTCCACGGACCCCAGCTCCACGGACCCCAACCCCAACACCTCGACGAGAGTCGGCCCGCTTGGCTGCGGCCAAGTGGGACCCGAAGCCAGCGGCAGCGGCAGCGGCAGCGGCAGTGGCAGCGGGGAGGTGGCAGTCCACGTCCGAGTCGGTGAGTTGCTTGATTCTTTTTCCCTCGTTTTGGGCGGGCTGTGCACCAGTGTCTCGAAACGGGCTTCCTCGTGCGCGCTCCTTCGCTTTAGCTCCCAAGTGAACCAGCCCGCACGACCGCGCCTGCCTGCGATGATTCTTCGAGTCTAAAAATTGTTTGTAAATTCTAAGGAAATTGCGGTTTTGCCTTGATAGATCTCAAGAATGGTTTCCATTGGTAAGATCTGTCGAGGCCAAAATGCAATTTAATTGAAATGTATATCCAAATTTTAGGTTTGTTAAAGCCGTGCGGGCTGGGTCACCTGGGAGCTACAGCGAAAGGAGCCCGCACCAGGAAGCCCGTATGGTTTGGATGCATCGCTGTGCACTCTGTGACTAGCCCCTCCCCCTGTTTGTGTCTAGGGCTCCACACGGTAAAAACAAATGATTTTTACAGTCCCCAAGACTGTCTTTACCAGAAGGAAACGCCCCCCCCCCCTCCCGTCGCTCCATCCTCTTTAGTACGGTAATTTAAAGTTTTCCTATTTTCCTCAACTCAGTCATTGTTTTTACCGTGTACCGGCAGTTAGCCGCGAGGCCAGTCGTAGCGTGGGCGGGCGACAGCCCGGCATACCAGAGCCCTGCAGCGAGTGGTCCGTGTCCACACAAACGACATAAATTCTCGACCTGCGTTTTATTAGCGGAAGCCCTGTAGCTGCTGACCCACGCGCTGCAAGCCATTTCGTTACATCTCTAACGGGTCCACGTTGAACAGCCCCCCCCTCCCCTCCGTCCTTTTCCCACTGACGCACTGGTCCGCGGGTCGCTTTTCCACCTACGTGGTCGCGCTAGCGGCCCCCGTGTCTGTCCGCTTCGCACTTATGTAGCTGTGCCAAAAGATGGAACACGGAAATAAGTCTGATGCGATGTGCATTCTGGAATTGTCATCTCTAATATCGAACGAAGCGTCTTACAATCTTTCAACATTTATTTCAATGTCACTTCAGTTTTCTCGTAGATTGGCGTTATTCCGAACGCTGTATAGTTCAACGCGTTCCAATTTTGCAAATCGTTCACGTTTTGGAGACGGGCGGGGCGGCGGTGGGACAATAGAACTTCAGTTGGGCAATCAGCGCACTCTTGTGACGGCGGCGTGGCATAAGGACACATTCACAATCTACCCTGGGCCCGGCGCAGCCCCCTTTTCCGCTAAACTTTGTCCAAGAGAGTGGACGATGCGGCATGTCGGGCGCCTGTCATGCGCAGGGTCGGCCGCCCGCTCATCACGCGTGCCGCCCGGCTGCCTACCCCTTCGAACGCAGGCGCGCGGCAGGGTCGGCTGATGCGGCGTGCTGGGCTGGGAAAGATGTTGAGGTCTCACGTTCTGATTTCCACTTTTCAGAGCTTGCCGACTTCA